GCGGGTTGGAATCATGATTTGAATTCATTGCTAGTTAACTGGCAGCAGTTGTCAGGATATGTGAATTTAATTTTAAGTGAAAAATTGAAGCTTTTATTAGTCTTGATAAACGGATTGATTTGCTGGGACGAAACTTCAGACATACGTTACCTCGGTTTTCCCCTCTAATCTAATGTTAGTTAGATTCTTACTTTCATGTATAAAAATGATTTTTGTGTTTCTGTAATTTACTTTAAAATATGAATAATGCTTTCACTATCTTGTTTCGACGTGCTAACAGTATGTACATGTGGCTTATGCTTTCATGCCTTTAATGTAGCAGATTCAATTTTGGCCTATATGAGTCAAGAATACCATTGCGATTCTCTTTATAAGTTGACCAATATGACATAAAGTACTGAACCTCTTTGAAGCACATGTATATCGTTCTAATTAAATTTATACTATTCGAATGTATTCAATTCGATCCAGAAGCTTAGCTGAGTTGAGCAGACACCAAAGTTTCGGAATCTATTATTTTTATTGAATAGAATTGCTAGACATTTCTTACGATCTATCAATAAATTGAGGGTGTGGGTGGATGTGGGTGTCTTTGCGGGTCTTCTCTGAACGTATACCCACGCACCCACACCACTCACACCCTTCATCCTTATCATGTACGGTCGTTTTTTTATTTTAAAACGATAGAATGACATAATTGTCTAGTATATTGCCTGTAAGAAAAAATTCGTTTGAATCGTTCTATCAATAGCAAATGCACCTCTTACTATCGACATCTGTATGTAAATCACAGGCGATGGATACAGTTAAAAGAATTCTAGTTGATGTGGGTGTGAAGGAAACATTCGTATCTATATCCACGCCCACACAGGCCATTCTATCAATATATCAAAAGTTTCTTGAAATCGGTTTATTTCAAGACTTAAGTCGTGTAGGAAGACCATAGACAATACTAAAAGATAAAATTCAACAAGTTGACGCGAATATAGAGATGGAACTAACAGACAGCATAGGAAATATTACTTGGCAAGAAACCATTTCAAAATATCGAGCATATTGGATAATGCGTGTTATTATTGGATTTAAACTGTATATAATGCATGGTACTAAAAACTTATATGATGAAGATATGAATGTACGTGTGAAAATAGCAGAGCATTCAATACCTATTCTGGAAAGTCTAGGAAATGACGGTAACCTTTTTCGCTGATAAGTGAAGTTTTTATATTTTCCGCGTTGTGGAAAAGCATAATTGTCCTATTTGAGTAATAAATAATCTATAGACTACTCCTGAAACTGATATAGATTCTGCTACAGTCAATCAACATAATAATCTTGACATGTTAAAAAAGTAGTCTATCCAACTCTACGAAGAAAAAGACTTAATAATAAGATTATTTTCCAGCAAGATGATGCACTCCTGCACTTTTCAAAAGAAGTTGGTGCATGGTTAAAAGTAATTTTGATGGCAGATGAATTGGAAGAGATGGATCAATGGCTTGGGCACCGCAGTCTCTAGATTTAACTTCATTTGATTTTTTTTGTGCGGATATGTCAAATAAGACTTGATAATATTGATGATATTAAGAACAGAATTGAAAGAGCAATCAAAGGAATAAAAGAAAGAGACATAAGATAATGTTTTCAATGGTATTGTAAAAACATTAAAATTTTTTATTGATGTAAATGGTGGCACTTTCGAGCAGCGCATGTCGAACATTTTATTACCAAATAAAACTTCAAATATTTCTCTTTCAAATAAAAACAAATTGCCCAATCTGGATGAGAAATCGCGGAATATATAATTTTCGTTTTTGTTAAATGACTTTATGGAGACCCTTGGCTATAAATAATCTCATTTGAAAGACCGAAGTATTCTTCACAAGTCCTTATATGAACCATTCAGAAATAATAAATATGAATTGAATTCATGATGAAAAAATAGTAATTCTATTTTTTAGCCCAAATAGGTACTGATAACGTAAAAAAGGACAAGAAAATTGAATGAGGCTATTTTAGTCGTAGATGCGTCAAACTAAGATCTTTAACCTGAGTTAGTTGTATTTTAGTCTATTTTTAATGTCCCTAATTATAACATTAATATTTCAAATTCTATCATCAAAATCCTCAAGAACTAAGTCATTTCACATCTTGGTTTTTCCCTTTATTTTTTCATATATACGTCATTGGATATTTCGTTTTGTCTTGTATGCGTCACTCTCTCTCTATCTATATATAGCTATATATACATGTGTTCTTGTTTCTCTTCTCGAATCCAGGTTCACCCAAACTTTCATTTAAAATAAAAGAACCAACTCTTTTCTTTTTGTCTTAGTTCTTCACAGAAAGCACAAGCAAAAAGTGCATGTGTGATTCAGACAGAAGACAAGCAAATACAGTTACCATTTAATTCAAAAATAAGTAAACAATCCTGAAGGGTAAAATTTCAATGGACAAATCTTCAAATAAAATGGCCATTTCCCCATTTGCCTTCCCTTGAGACCATTGGAGTAGTAGACTTATTCAAGCATTCTCTTCTAAAAGACTTTCTTTCGCATCGTAAGTTTGATGGAATTTATTCAAATGAAATGGAAATATATTTTTTTGCAGTGACGACGCAAAGGTAAACCTTCCATGTTTGCATCAACAACATATAGAGTTCTTCTCTGACGGCGACTGTTAAAGTGTTGATTTAACCGTTCTGTTCGTTGCCACATGGCAAATTTATTTCTTCTATCTTGTGTTGAAAGAGAATATTTCTCTGCTTTTTTTTTATGTAGTTTATTTTCATTTCTCGCTTTCAAAGAAAGCCGACGAACGAACATTGGTAAGCCAATCTTCGAAGTTTTGATTACCTTCCAACTATTAGTCAAACAGTTAGTTTCGAATTTGTTGTTGAAGCGTTTTGACGATAACTTTTTGTTGAATTTAATTTCGATGATTATTAGTAATTAACAAAAAAAAACATCAGAGCGCAGTGAAAACGAGTTTCTATGCTTTTCTCGAAGAGTTTGATGTAGAACGTTATCGATTATAGTGAAATTCCGTGATGATTAGGATTTTTTTCGTCAACTTTTACTTCCTACCATAGATTCTTGCTTAATTAATTCATTCATCGTTGTCAGCTGACCGTGTCCCTATAAAACTGACACATTTATTACAGAAAGATATGGTTTAAAATGTGTTTCCGTATCGCATCTGCAGTTTCTCAGGTTATCTCAGAATTCTGTAAATAAGTTTCTGTAGATCCTCTACTTACTACAACTAGTTTTTATTATCTCGGGCATATTGCTTCAGCACAATTGATTATTTTAAATGCCATTATGATATTCAAATCTACTTCGTCATCTAAAGCCATATTTTCTGGAAATATGCTTTTATCCTAGGTTCAGTATATTGTTTATTGATGTCATTCGTATTCCGTCAGAAAATTTTCATTTCTTTGAGTTCCTCCGGTTTCCATGTCGCTGAATGTCGACTGAATTTCGATGGGTGAATACTATAGAGAGTTTCGTGATGATTCTATTGAAACTGAACGGAAGTTATTGGAACTTTCGGACAAAGTTCGACCGAAATTCTTAAACAAAAGAAATAGTTGAAACTTAGTCGAATCGGTAGCCATGATATCAAAATAGAATGGAATCCCTGTCTTCTGTTCGCCTAAATTCAGAACCACGCCAATATCCACACTTACAATCATACTCGCCCCCATATGGGTATCGACACCGATATTCATATTCACATCCACACCCACATCCATGCTTATACCGACGCTCGCAGCCACTCGGACAGACTGGACGAGTTGAACTGGTTGCACCGACGATTCTTCGCCGGTTTTTATCGATTGAAAAATATTTTATTGATATACCATTTGTTTCTGATAAGACTTGTTGCGAGCAAGTTTGCTTGCTGTTATCAAAATAGTCAACCAGTGTCGTTTCAAAAATTGTCAGTTTTATTTTTTCTGTTCCTACACGCTATTTCATTTCTTTAATCGAAGCATACTCAGTTTTATAAAGATTACAATCAAAACTGTCTTACTTGAGGTAAATTTATCTCATACATGTTCTATTGTAGACTAAATTTATGTTTCAGCTGCTATTTGAAGAAAAATGTTAAGTTCGTTTGTAAAGATTAAGTGAGAAATTCAAAATTTTGAGTTGGGCAATCAGGATAATTGACACAGCTCATTTTTCACGCTATATATAAGTACTAAATATTCATCTTTCAGAAACTAAACACATATAAACGACTAGAACATGATATTTCTTTCTGAAAGCTTGTAAATATCTGATTTTGCTGGTTTTCACTGATTTGAAAGATATTTTGAAGCGATCATATCCGATCGGTCTAATATTTGGACCGGATGCACTCAGCCAGTTCAAAAGCTCTCGACCGAGTACAACCATAGGTTGGTTCTTGTTTTTTTTTCTTCGCAAGCGATATAATTCAATTGAAAATAAGACTAATTTAATTGCAATATTAGCATTTCGAAAAAGCAAGTGCAACAATCTGCAGGTATTCCGGACGAAACTTTGCTCTAATATTAAATTTATCGTCTGAGAAACTTTGTGAACTCGCCGATTTCGCTGGTCTGGAAATATTTTTTAGGGTGACTAGTGATCAGCCGCATCTGACCCGTCTATTATTTCTTACCGATTATAAGCCTACCACATTGTATATCCATATTTGCATCCACACCCAAATATTATCCTTACCATGAAAGTCAGAAAATGAGAAAAACTACTAATAACCTTAACAGGAATATAATGAATAATTGCATTTCTCATGATGCTCTGCTCTATGGCTAGTTTCAATTCGACTTCATCAGAAAAAATAATGTTTTATTATTTTTGAACAAGAGAAAATGCTAACCTAGATTCATATTTCCACTTGCAAAAGGAACCAGTAAAGTTAATTAAAAATAATATCTCTAGTTTTTTTGTCTTTGCAGAAATTGAAATTTACAACGATCAATCATATCATTATTCATTCTCGACATGGCCGAAAGTAGCAAAGGAGACAATAGACAAAGTATTGTGCGTATATCGGATATCGTGAAAGATCCCTGTCAGATATTAACGCCTATCGGTGGTTACGACGAAGTACCACTTGTTCCACTTGAAATTGCTGTCGAACCTCTAGTACATTTAGTACCTAATATTCAAAGCTATGCACACACTGCCAAACAACAATGCAAAAAACCTCCACCCGATGGCATGACCATCGATGAATCGGCTTCTATTATGCTGTATACTATGGGATGGAAGCCACTGGATAAATGCCTCTATGCTGCATTGAATGCAACCCTTCGATCCGAAGATAGAAATAAACTCGAACCGTGGTTTCTCTATCTCAAACTCTTTCTTACTGCTTTATCACAAATCTCATCGGAACATAGACTTCTTTTTCGTGGCATCAAAGCAGATTTACATGACAAATATCCCAAAGGAAAGACTATTGTATGGTGGGGCTTCTCATCCTGCACTGTTTCTGTTGATGTTTTGCAATCAGACCTATTTTTGGGTACCACAGGAACAAGAACTATGTTTACTATTCAATGTGATTCGGGCAAAGATATAAGTAAACATTCTTACTTTCCACACGAGGAGGAAGTACTACTTATGGCTGCAACACAATTTACTGTCGTTGGTTGTCTCGACCAAGGTAACAATCTCTATACAATTCAACTGAAAGAAACGAAACCTTCTCATCCTCTTCTACAATCAATAACGAATCATTCCAAATCGAAAAAACCATCTGCAAGTAAGAGAGAAAATTCTCATTCGACTTTCATAGATTATATTCGGCAAACATTATGAGAAAAGTATAGAGGTCCATAGTCTATTTCTGATGAGATGTCAAATTTTTTATAAAATCGTTTGTCTTTTTATTTAATCAGTCGATTCTTTTCTGACGAAATCCTAGAGTTTGCAAATCTAGTTTTCCACTAAAGTTCCCAGTAGGACAAAAAACTTTTTGAAAATTATTCTAGACAACTTTTCGAAAAACAAAATCACCTCTGTGAAAAAGTGTGAGAAAAAAAAAGCTTGTAGAAGACTCGTCCGAACACGAGAATAAAGACTTTCAAACGAATTGAATGTAAAATGAACTTCTAGGATAAAAAAATACGAAATTCCAATATTGAATTGTTCTCTATTCAGTAAACAATTTCAGTATTTTTAACCGCATAATTTCATTTCACTTGCAGCCGATCTGAAACTCTCTATTTTCGGGCTGTAACATAATCTCTGCAAGTTTTCTTCTCACACTTTTTTCTCATGGATAGTTTTGTTCTTCGGAAAGTTATGCAAAATAATTTTGAAAATTCCAGAACTTCGTCAAAATAGAGTTTTCAGATTAAAGGTGAGTAGTTTTCGCCGACCTCATCATCTGACGCCTGAAGAATAAGTTCTGAAAAGATCATTATCTCTAGATTTTTATAAATAAAGCGATTTATTAAAGTTTTTAACTTTGTCGTCTTCTTTTTACTCACTCCAGTGAAAAATGATGATCATTCGAATGAAGTTGAACATACGGAATTTTGTCGTGATGGTGGCCGTTGTGAAAACATGGATGATGACCATTTAAAAGCTTATCAACATGTGCCTATATGTAAATATCGTCGTCAATGTCTCGATTATAATCGTGGATCACATGAACATTGTCGAAATTTTCGTCACTGTATACCAATGTGTCGTTTTGGTCATTTTTGTGTAAAATTTCATGATGAAAAACATTTAAGTGAAGAAAATCATCCGTTTCAACCACCATGTTCATTGACTCCATTCCATTGTCGACAATATAATAGTGTATGTGACACAAAAAATATTAGATCATTACCAATTGATGTTCAAAACCATTGTCTACAATATTCACATGTATGCCGATACGGTCGTCAATGCTATGAAACAGCGGATATACATTGGAAAACTACAATTCATGTTGCACGTAATGCTTGTTTATTGGGTGATGATTGTACAGAGATCGATCAAGAAAATCATTTAAATTCATTTTCACATCCAGGTATAGCTGATATTCGTCGATTTTGTCCTTATTCAGCGCATGATTGTCGTGATAGACGAAAACTTGAACATATTAAACAATTTCGACATTTTGGAAATCATGATCGTAGTGGTGTTATTGGCTGTTTTGGACAAAATAAAACAATCAATTTCGTTAAAAATCAAGAAAGAATGATTCAAGCTATAAAAATATATGCAAAAAGTTTAAATTCAAGAGATACATTATCAATTCCATTAGAAATTCAAAAGTGGATTAAAGCTTTACAACCAATTCATCGATGTTCAAAAATTATTTTTGAATCAATACTTGTTCATGGTCATGTTATGTCTCGTGAACATATGGACCATTTGAAAAAACCATCTTTTGTTTCTCAAGCTGTTCAAGAACATAAACGTGTACGAGCAATTTTTGATCGTTATAAAACGCCAACAATAGAAGATCATGCTAAAGAATATATTCGAGCCATTGTTTCTTCAGACTATACTAAAAGATACGGTGCAATTACAGCAGCTGGAGCAGGTACTGGTGATTCATTAATGTCAACTGGATCTGATGATTATGATGATATCATACGTAAAAAAGAAAGAATCTTCCAAAGTTTAATCAAGCCAGAAGAAATTGATACAATAAAAAAATGTGCCCTTAAAATTGCTGAAGCTTCATGGAATCTTCATAGTTCTCCATCGGGTATTGGATATTCAAATGATAAAGAATTAGGTACTGATAAACATGTTTTTAGTGTTCTTGGACCACATCTTGGACATTACTATGGAGATATTATTCTTGTATTTAAAAGTGAAGTAATGCATCATCCAGATGCTAATTTTTCTCCTCAAGCAGCCACATCATTCTTGAGTGGAAATACATATGGATTTCGACCATGGGTCAAAGATCCAAGTGCACGTTCTGCAAGGATACAATGTTTTCATGAATCAAAATTACATTGTGCTATACCAGGTTATGAATATGTAGCGGCAGCAGAACTAATAGCTGTGTCAGGATTACAAAAGAAAACCATGAATGTTGATCTGAACACCATTATAAATCGTTGGATGAAAACTGATTCACATCAAGTATTTGAAGCTCATTTACCACGATTAGTTCCTCTTGATTATATTGAAGAAGTATATATACCAAAAAATCTTTTTGCTTCACTAACTTCAGCAGCTCAAGAATCAGCTATAAAAGTTTTTCGTGATGGACTTCATATTACAAATCATAATATTAATCTTAACGATAGTAGTAGTGGAGTTTCACCTTTAACGGATAAAAGTCGTTCTGACTATCAAGATTTTGTAATTGGTACATTGATGAAAAAAATCGAAAAACGAAAGGAACATGAAAGCCTTTGTCGTGGCATTGTTCTTACTTTAGCACCAAGTCAATTTACAGATCATATTGTTTTACCATTAACCATAAATGATGCTTATGATCAATATCTACGAATTTATAAACCAAGTTCGAATTCTGATGTTATATATATTTATTGGGAAGCAATGTGTGGTGATATGATGGTGACGCTTTCAGATGAACCAATTAATCCTGATAAGAGTCAACCACATATTCGATGTCTCGTTTGTTATATTGCCGAAAGACCATCATCAACAATAACAACAACAACGACCACTTATAATGAATCATATTCATATTTAAATGCTGGTGAACCATATCGACATGGTATTATTAAGACTAATGGTAAATGTTCAAGTAGTTCACGTACATTTCATCGTGGTTGTAATATGGAAGAATTTTCAATGTATTGTCTTAAAATTGAAAAGCAAACAGGTCAAGTAACACTTTCACATGCTGGACCAAATAGTATTTATTGTTATGAAACAATAACATGTAAATTTTCTAAAATGTCTCTTGATTTAAACAAATTACAATATGTTCATGTAAGTGCTGGTTCACAAATAGTGCCCATCCGAAACTTGATGATTAGTTTTGAACAGATTTCCGATTTACATCCATCATTTGATATGAATTTTAAACGAGGTGATGAGGCTTTTCCTCGTAAGAAAAAAACTCATGATTATGATCGTTTGACATCTTCAAAAATACCACAATTATATAGTGATAAGATTCTATCAACGAAGTATAAAACTGCAAGTTCCACTGATGATTCTATTGATTATGATATCGATGGTAAAAGTCTTGATCCATGTCCTTATTCAATCAATTGTCGATTACAAGAATCGCCGAAACATATGAAAGAATGTTCTCATCCGTGTCCATATTCTGAACTTTGCCGTAGTAAAGACAAAGAACCTCATCTTACTCATAAACCTCATCGAGTAGAACAATGCTTACTCAAGAGTTCATGTCAAAAACTTGATGATCCTTTTCATCGAGTGAAGTATCGACATCCAGGTTATCCTGACTTTCTTATTCCATGTCGTGATGGTCAATTATGTCATAATAAAACAATGGATCATCGAACAAAGTATTCACATGGCGAACATATTGATATAGCTGAATATATGTCCGGTAAGTCCGTTGCATACTTATATTAAGATTGAATATTAAGTTTTTGTTTCATTCTTTCGACTTAGATCAAACATCCCATAAACCATCATCAAAATTTCATTCTGGCTATAAAGATACAGGATACACTCATGCAGGTAGTCATGATAAACGAACTTCGTGTCGATACGGATCAGATTGCTATAATCAAAAGGATTCCGATCATTGTTCAAAATATTCACATCCTGGAGATTATGGGTCTAAACGTTTGGCTAGTTCAAGTTTTAAACGCACACCTTGCCATTATGGAGACAATTGTTGGGACAAAAATAACTATCAGCACCGTTCAGAATATTCACATCCTGATGATGAATGAAGTCAAGACCTTGATAATTTGTTAACAAATATCAAGATACAGACTTTCTTTATTGTTCTGCATATTTTCATTTGAACTAATAAAAATACGAATTTCGATCTAGTGAATATTAAACCTGTATTTCATAGAAACATACGTTCGTCGATTGTTATTTGTTTTGTCTTTTAAAAAAATATTCATGATTTCTCTATCCGTTGTATTCTGTCAATTTAATAGTTTGAAATAAAAATTAAATCAAATCAATCAAATATTGTATTATCGTGCAATTTCCTATTATGTCATTAATCAGCATTTTATGTAGTGTACAAATTAACAGACGAGAACTGTCCCTCCAAAAATCTAATTGGTCCTTCTGAAGCTTGCAGTCACGTCTCTGCAAGAGAAAATCTGTGTGCAACATTCATATCAATATAAGGTTTTTAATTTCAATATAAAGAAAATCCACTGTATAATTATTAAACATTTGTGTTAATTTTGTATACTTGATTGTTTTCCTTGTTTTATCTAATCTTCAACTATATAAGATATCCCTTTTTTCTTTTCTATTAAAACAAAGTATCGAGAAATGAAATGAAATCCTAATCCATGTCATTTATCATACAGTGAAAAGATATTAAAATTTCTTGTTTGTTTTTTTTTTTTAAATAACCACTTTTTTAATATCATCATTCGGATACGAGAACACAACAATTATATTTAACACACACACATACACATACAAATTATTTAACATAATGTTTCAGTATAGGTTTTTCTCGGTAATTTTGTTGATACTTCATTTGTATAAATATCAAAATAATTTGGATTACTCCATTGTGGATTTGGATGAAAATATTGTGCTACTTCAAGATCACATGGATCATCAGATGGTGATATTTGTTCACTTGTACTATGTAAAGAAGGACGTCGATAGAATTTAATTGGTTTAAATGCACTATTTTTCGTACTAATAAAATCACTTATAGGTTCATATAATGATCGATTAAAATCATAATTTTTATTTAAATATTTATATGGATAATAATTTTGACACAATGATGGTTTAATTAAATAGTTTTGCTGACAAAATATATTATCATTCGTTGATAAATAATTTTTAGTAAGATTTTCATGATTAATTACTGTTGTTAATCGATGATATGAATAAGAATTTTGTTGATTATTAATATTTCTTTTTGAATAAGATAATAAACGGCGTGATGGTTGATGAGAATAACAATCATGAATTGATGCATAATTTTCTGATGAAATTCTTATTTGATTATCATATAATGGATAAACATGTATAGAATGAATTTTAGACTAGAACAACAAAGCAAAAAAATAAATAAAATAACTATTTGAATAATAATTTTTTTTCTTTTTTTAAATACCGGTTCAATAAATGAACTTTGTTGGTATATTGGTGATGATTGTCGTAATTTTATATTATTATTTTCTGATAAATAACTTAAAGGTGTTGTTGATGTTGCTTTACTACATGTTTTAATAGGTGATGATTGATGATAATGTCTTTTTAATATTAGTTTTGATTTTGCTCTTTCATATTGTTTACGTATAAAACTTGATATACGTGAAATATTTTTTGTTTTTAATGATTTATTATTATTATTATTATTATTATTATTTATCGTTTTATTTATTTGTACATAATTGGATTGTTTATTAATAGTAGATCGATTTTCATGTATAGATTGTGGTGATTCATTTGTTGATGATAAATCACTATGATAACCACTTGAACTTGTTGTTTGTGGAGATAGACGACGTGTATCAGTTCTTTGAAGGACAACATTTGAATGCATAATTAACGACAAAATGAAATAATACTATAATTTCGAATTATCGTTAAAATAATAATCAAAAAAAAATAGATCAAACTAAAATAGAAATATATATTTATTCAAATTCTAATCTCATATTGACATAAAAGACGTTTTTTCTCTTTGTCTCTGTCTTATCAGTTTCAACTCACTATTTTAAATATAACAAAAAAAAAAGAAAAGAAAGGCAAACTTCTGAATGATAATTTTTTTTTGGAGGAAAAAAATATGATCTATATATATATACGCGTCTGTGTAGACTATACTTGACCAAAGAAAGAAGTAGATGTATGCAACAAACATAATGAGGAATAATTAGTATGATAAAAGTGACCTCCATCTATACATATGGGACTCTTAAAAGCAATATCTAATTTATATGCAATGAAAAACGAACGAACACGACTCACGTTATATATACACATATACATTATAAATACATACAATCAATGACACAAGTGTATTGAACGATAATCGTATGGCGAAGAGTAGAACCAGCTACGGGAGGTACTCAACAACCATGATGATGTAATAGACTGTTCGATATATTAAAAAAAATGAAACTACTGTTGACTATATAATATATATCTATATATATTTAAGGCTTTTTCACACAAAACTGATGAAATCTCTAGGATCACTTAAAATGAATGTATCGATTAAATATAAAAATGAACATTTATCATCAATCAGCTAAGTAAATCGGTAAAGCTTCATTTGAATTTTTTCCAATTAAATGACCGCGAAAAAGATGAGCAGACACAAAAGAATATTCGTACGATTGATAATTCAATGCTTCCCCGTTTTTTTTTGTAATAGATCACTGTCCATGACAAACAAAAGATGCATTCGTAAAAAGAAGCTATAGCCTATATACACAACAATGCATTATCAAAAAAAAAATTATCCTATTGTTATATATATATATATATTTTTGTCATGATAATGATAATATACCGCTCAATAATTACCTTTCGCTATATATCATGAGAATCCAGGTGATGTTGTTTCTTCATGTTTTATACGAGTAATAATACAAAAAAAAAACAAAACATTGAAACTTGTTTAATCTTTTTTCTATATGAATGATATCCTTCTCAAAATTGTAATTGAAAACTCAATTCTAATAAGTTAGTTAATCTATTTTCTACATGCAAAACAATGTTTAGACTACATATGGGTTGTTTAAACATTCATTAGTATCATTGACATTCGTTGCTTTATATATATATATATACATTAATGAGAAAAGAATGATGAACGTGTGTGAGATCCAAATCTCTATCATAAAAAATACATTTGCATATTTTCTCATATATATGTATGTAACAAAAAAAAAAATTCTCTTATCAGTAAACAGCATATTTCTTTCTCAAGGGAATAACAATGAAACAGTTGTAGGACTAGAGAGCGAGAGAGAGAGAGATATGCCGCATAGTGATGAACTCTCACAAGATTACTCATTGATAAACTGATTTATACTTACATGATTGAGAAATACGAAGAATAATACTAATATTTATCTAAAATAATAGAAAATAAAATTATAATCGTTGTTCAATAACATTTTATAATTATATAGATTAACCTATTGATATTGTTATTTGAACAAAAGAGTATTATAGTAAAAGATGAAGTACATGTAATGGTATATGATGAATAATGAAAAAAAAAACACTCTTATTACGTCAGATGGTCATAAAAAATAATGAAAAAAGTTGTGTATATGTGATCAAAATTCGATTACCTTGCTATTGAATTATTTCTCTTGTCTTACTCTCATCGATAAAGAAGTTGCTAGTATGTGCTCTTGAACTTTAACTGTATACATATGTATATATATATATGTAAGAAAGACTTGTCGATAGTAGGATTATTACTCTAGAACAAAAGCTAAAGGTTTCTTTCTCTTTCTAACAATCAATATAAGTATTGATGAGAAAGAATATTCCGATAGAGACTAGCTGGCAGATATACATCTTATATCATCTATCATGACAAACATTTGCTCAGCATAGCGCAGACAATACGTTTTACTTATGTCTTTGTCGATGTCCGTATGATCAAAAAAAAAATAGAATAATAATAATATGTATGTATGTAACACGGTTGGTGTTTACAAACCTACCAGGGTTCCTTTTTTTTTTTTTTTTGTTCTTTCTTTTTCCCTCTCTGATTTGTTGATCACCAATTAACAACATAAAGAATCTTAATCCTTTCTCAGTACACACACATATATATAAAGAGAGAGAACAATAGTATGTGTAAGTCCTTGAAAAAAAATTTTTTTTTTCTATATATTATACAGGCAAAATAATTATATCATTCTATTGTTTCTATTAAGCATTCTATAATATAAAACTATTACTTATATTGAAATCATATTGTTTAGCTTGAAGTATTCATTAATAATATATAATATTGAAGTCGTTGAAGCGATTATTATTATTATTATATGATTAGACATAATATTAAATCTAAATTCATTTCAATGACAATGATTTATGTCTTTATGAGCAAATCAAATATATTTTACAAAAAAAAATGAAAGATTGTACCTGTACAGGTGTATACATATATATATGTTATTTAAATAAGAATCACACTTATATGAATAGTAATAATATTGAAACAGACGTAATATATAACATATACAAGAAAAAAGAAAAATAAGCTATAATAAAGAATCGCCTGAATGAACTGATGACAGAGCATCTATGTTATACTAATATGTGATAACAAGGGGATGATAACATTCTACAATGATATGATAAAAAAAAAAAAGCGTTAAAGAAGAAATACGGAATATAAACGATGAATAAATCAAGAAAAAACCTTGGTGTGTGTATATGCTTGTCAACGAACGATTTACGCATGACGAATTATTTTCATGAACATCAGATGATTTAGTAATAGATCATACAAATTATAATTAAAAAAATTCGATAAATCTATAAGTAACAGTTGAAATAAAAATGAAAAGAAGATTTACTTTCTTTTCTTTTTTATCTATCACACCTTGATTATTGTATGGCTTATTTATTTTAAAGCAGAATGACAGTTGTCATTCATTCTATCAATCGTTAAGAAAAGATGATTGAATAGACCTTGTTAACAAGGTTCAACACGTCTATCGGTAGCATTAATGATAGAAACAAAAAGAAAAAGAAATTAACATATAAATTTACTAATGTTAGTTTATGTTCATTATCATTGCTATTCTTTAAAAAAAAACAAAAAAGAACTGAACAGAAAAATGAATGAATGTGCATTATCTACAATTTACTTCATCATTGTATTTTGCCTATAGGCTATATTTTTGCCGATTGAATTCAAAGTTAAAATGACACATTTGAGTTATTATATGTGAACGATTAATCAATAGGTGTTTGTTTATCACGATCAAATGAGTGATATACAAAACGATAGTACTCTATATTTGTTCATAAAATAAAACGCCTTCAATTGATAAAATTACTAGCTAGTAAGAATATCTATCGTAAAATAAATAGAAGTTTATTAGAAAAAAATTCTATTCAATGAATTCTTTTTTAATTTATTTGAATAGACATGCACGATATCGATATTCTTTACAATTGTTCAATATATAGATTTCACTATTATTATTCAAAATTGATTGTTAATTGACCTTTTTTGTTTTTCTAATGATATACTTCAATAGTTGAAGTTTTAGTAAAACAACAATCAATCTATTGAATTTGTATTTGTTTGAAAAAAAAAAAATACAATATTGTATTCATGTAATAGATCAGATTTATTCATATGCAAAACGCATTTAATCATATGAATTGGTTAAATAACTATATGAATAAATAAATAGAATTTTTCATGCTAGATTTTCTTTTTCAATAGAAATATCAATAAAAATGATTTGATTTAATTTTAAAATTTTTGTTATGAATATTAAATAAATGGCAAACATTTGAGTAATAGTCATATTCAACTATTCAATCAATGAGAAAGAAATTAATCTGACAATAAACGGAAACGGAAAATATATTTCCTTTTTTGGATTCTTTTCATTCAATTATTTTCACCATGATTGATTTATCTGTACATTAAAAAAAAAAAACTAATCAATAATTTATATATAAATATTAGACGTATTCATCCGATCATTTTAAAACGTATATAATTGATTTAATCTCGAAGGTATCTTCGTTTTTTATCGACGCAGTTTTTTTCTGAACACTTTCAGAATTTTACTGAATCGACCTTGCCTTGAAGAGAAAAAAACTAAACAAAAAAGTAATGACACTATCCGACTTTTTAAGGATGTGGGTGTAACTAGTGTACTTTTTTTTGTTTTACTCCCAGACATACTCGGATTGAAGGACTTACACCACCGACTTAGTGCAAATATTGTCGCTTGCAAGCATGATTTATTAACATTTTACTTCATGTTTTCGCTGTATTTTTCATTAAAGATTGACTTTTTTTTGTTTTAATTTTTTGATGAAAAACTCATCTTCTTAGTCTAATAAAAAGTCTTAATTTTTCAAAAACTTGATGAGTGACTCTGAGAAAACTTCTCAGAAAAATCTGATATTCAAGTTACACTACAGTTTTATTTTCTCTTTTGAACAGTGAAAATCACAAATTTCTATCTCGTTCCTATCAAAAATTATTCCAAAAATATTCAACTGCCTTTGATTTTGAAATGGATATTATATTTATTTCTTGTGTTTTTTTTTTCTTCATAAAACACTTTGTACATAAACCAAACTTGATTATTATTTTAATTATATAATGATGAAAACTCTAAATAGTAAATCACTGATATTCTCAATATTCGTATTCACTACAGTAGTGAGACATCAACTCTATCAAAATATGTCTTTATTTATTAATTAATAATATAATAGAATTTAGATAAGATCTAATTATATTTTTATTGTTCTAAATATTTGACACACGTTGGTTTACTAATTGATACAGTTGATCCTGTTGTTGTTAATTTT